TTCTTCTTTCTTTAACATACATTTATAAATATAGCATATATATATATATAAATATATATTCTCTTTATTAGCGTATTTTAATCGTAAAAAATTTTTTTTTTTTTCTTAATTTTACAATTTTCATAATTTTAAGCGTGTTCAATACTATCTCTTATCAATCCAAATGAGTTAAAAGTTGCCAACGATTAGTCCCTGATGATGCGTTGGCCGAAAGGTAACCTCGGTCCGGATATTAAAGAACAAACAAACAAATGAGCATAAAATTATATTAATTTAAATCAATATATATATATATATATATATATATATATATATATATATATATATATATATATATATATGTGTGTGTGTGTGTGTGTGTGTGTGTGTGTGTGTGTGTGTGTGTGTGTGTGTCTGTGCGTGTATCTTGGGCCATATTCTGAATTTTTCTTTCGCGTGGATCATACTGAGAAATTTTTAGTCCAAGTAAGTGTCATGTCATCGAGCTGTAAATTTGATTCTTTCATCAATTAGAACCGATTTTTAGGGTTCCCAGTGTGGCTCTTCCAGAAGTTGTATATCTATTTCAGAGAATTGTCCGAAGTGACATGGTGCTGGCCATTCGACATTGGTAACAACGGTCAAATGAACATTTCTGTAGCTTAGCTTTTGCTGAATAACCTGCCTACATATATTTACGACGGCACATTTCAGATTCCAGTAGAAATTGGTCTGATAATATGATCAGTTTTCTACATAGTTTTTTTTTTAAATTTAAAACGATTAAACCATATCAATAAACATAGCTTCTTCATACTATCGTACATAGATTCATGAATATATTTCAAATATTATACTTGATAGGTCACGACATATTAAAGAAAATAACATTTATCTTGCAACAAAAAAATTCTCAGATTTTTTATTCCTAATTACGTTTGTAATTTAATGTACTTAAATGCTGATTCGGCAAACACAGGCAAAGTATTAACGAATACGATACGTTGAAAAGATCCGGAGGAATTGTATATTACGAGCAAACGATGAAATTAAATAATTTGGCAACTCTATTCGGATATGGAAACAAAGAATAAAAAATAGGCGCGTGACACAATTGCCTTGCTTTGTAAAACTATCATTGAAGCCAGTTTTCTTGAAAGGTCAAGCAAATGAAAAGGATACTTGGATATAAAAAACCCGAAAATATTGACATTTGAAATAACACAATGGTAATTTAATGATGATATTTAATTCTGGGGTATCTTCTTTTTATGCACTGTAATCTATCGAGCGATAACTGCCCTCCACAGCTTCCTACTGTATCTTTGTCTGTACCAAGCACAAGCTAATAGAGTAGTCGAACTCACGGTCCTTCTGTGTAAGTAAAGCAATATTGCATCAAGGCGCCTTTTAATGTCATAGGCATATACTGAGTTCAGTCTAGATTATGGCTATATCACGACGAAAAACTGGTTTCTGTGCGATGATGTTAGTTAAGCAACATCAAGTCTGGTCCGTACCGAGATGGGTGACTGCTTGGAATTACTAGGTGCTGTAAGGTTTGATGTGTGTGATTTAATCGATAATTGCTCGGAAGTGTTAATCGGAGAGCCGAGTTCCAACTTCGCGTTTGTTATTGTTAAGGGGATCCACCCCTTTTTCATACAAGTGAACTCGCCCAGTGAGTACCTGTACTGCTGCCGGTGAATACCCAGTGAGAGTGAAACAGTGATAGAGTGAGAGTGTGAGGTAACCGCTTTCTGTAGGAGTCACAGTTGCGAGCACGTAGACTCAGAAGGAAGTCATACTTCGATACTGAATTTCCCAGACTTTATATATATTATTATTGCTACTAACCGCATTTCTGGATCTACTAACCGTATTACCAATTGTATTATTACGTCAATACATTTATTTGTTATATTTCATTCCTGCGTTTGTCATTCATTTGAGACCGGATTTCATCCCTGAATCCACAAAAGTTATGTTCATTTACAGGCAATTAACCTTGAGATATGTATGACTCCGCAGCCTATGGGTTAAATATTAAGACTTGTATCACTATATCATTATTATTTAAAACATAATTATTGAAAATCTAATTATATTTCATGGTTTTAAGTAACCCGAAAAGAGATGATAACAGTTGAAAATGAATCAATTATTCAGATTACCTTCGTCTTATTTGATTCCAAGTAGCAGCTGTAGAGAAGATCTAAATCTGGATCTGATTTGCGTTTTCCTTTTTATTTTACCTAGTTCCTGTTAATCCTTGTAAAACATTTCAAACCACTATGTCAATATTTATCAAAATTTAAAATTGTTCACATTAACTATACATCTTTTCTTCCTGTTTTTGCTACTGATTATTTAATACACAAGAGCCACTCAATGCAGAGGGTTACAAAATGAGGTGTGTTATATGAAAATAAAAGATGGAAGTGGGTATTACTAGGATGAGTAGAATGTAACCATTGTGTGTAACCTGAAAAGCTAAGATTCAGGAAAAAATAACGTAGCAGTCTTTTCCATAAAACAGCGTTTCTTGGGTAAAAATATACTTTCTGCATGGAACTTCTTCTTTACAAATGGAATATCAGCGCTGCGTGAATAGTTAGCCTCTGTCTGTCTGTATGCTGCGCATAGAAAATGAAGTAGACAGAAATTATAATCGTTGATTTATTTAAATTGTGATAATATGGATATTACTTATTAAATTGATGAGCCATAACATCTCTTGTTTACAGTCATAATTATATTTGCCCAAAAGATAGAAGCGATAGCTAGAAATGAGACGGAGGGAACGGATCTATTTTAGCAGAAACTGAATTTTATTGCTTATATGTGTATAGCGTTTTCATTTGTGCCATCAATTCAAATTGATTTTCAACAATGTTCTATTAACAATTTTTTTATGGTTTGCCTCAAGTTTGCAGACAACATTACAATAACCAAGCTATTGAACGCAGAATTCTGCAACTCTTCAGCTGCTGCAAAAATAAAAAATAAAAATATTACACACACACACACACACACACACACACACACACATATATATATATATATATATATATATATATATAGTTTAGAATGTTGAAGAAAGGTTTTAATGGTTTCACTCCCCCAAAATAGCGACAAAAGCCACTAGCATACACGGTATATGATTGCGAGAAACAGAGACCGCAATAAAATATCAGTATTCAACGTGACTGAAGATACCGATTGACATTGTATTTAAATTTGTAGTTAACAGAAATGAATCTAGCCGGACGAGAGTTCCATGAGCAAAAATTTGGAGTGAGGAGAGTATTAATATAAGACTTCTACAAGTAGGAATTTCGACAGCGAAATTGTGAGATAAAGCTGACAATCTACTACAGCGCCTAACCGAGGTACCAAAGTGTAAAAGTCGTTTGGAATATTGCTACACAGATATTTATTGAAAATGTACTGCTTATTTAGGTTATGATAGTAGAAAATGGTTAAAAGTGAGATGCAAGGACAGGACTGATAACGTTGCAGATTATTCTTCCAGATGGTTCTTGATTTTTTTTTTTTTTTTTTACGGCATATCAAACTCTATGGCGAAATAAATGATATTTATATAAAACAACGAAATCTAAATGATATTTTATTCGTTTTTTTTTTTGGGTGATTATAATGTTTTAGCGATAAAAGTCATAATAATTAACTCATATCTAGGGGAGAGCAGTTACCATGAAAGTATTTTCTACAAATATTTTTATGTCAACTGTCGAGCTTTTTTACCTGATGCCGTCACTACGTGAATAGAAGCGCACTAATAAATTACCATGTAGGACTGGCCACTCTTATTCGATGATACCCGTCTACTAGCCTCAACTCTGGTGAGCTTTATACGCTGGTGCTAATACTGTATGAATTTAAGCGTGCTATTTGCTTAAACACTAGATTTCAACAAATTAATGTTGAATTAATTATCTTTGACCCCCCCACTTCTACGATAACAGTTTGTTTTCTTGTAGTACCTACATGTAGAAGTACCTTCAGATTTATTCCTTCGCCAACAAATGCAATTTTCAAAAGATATAAATACAACGTCAATCATCATCTTCTGTCTTCTTGAAACCTATTCCTTTTATGGCCTATCCATAATCATTCCTACTAAATTCCTATTCTCTTTAAATAAATGTAGCCCCTTCCTTCCGCATTAACAACTTACTTGTAATGAAATGATTACAATATATATTTCTTCTACTTTCGACGCTGGTACTGGTTTCACTCTCGAAAGTATGGAACTTGCAAGTTGGCAATAGAATGTGCAGTCGGGAAACATTTACCTAAACAAGTACAATAAAAAACATACACTATTATGACTATTATTAGTATTTGTTATTTTGAGAATGCAAACATTTCTTAGATATGAATTAGATACATCCTACCTAAGCGTGGAAGGAACGATATCCCAAAAAACATCTTCGCTTGCAAGTCCTCGAAGATATATTCAGGAAACTTTATATATATATATATATATATATATATATATATATATATATATATATATATATTCATTTCTGTAGTTCACTGCCAACAGCATGCAGAAATATTTCTCCTCCCGATGATGGCCATTTCGGTCGAAAAATAGTCGAGGAATCTAAATGGAATAATAATAATAAAAAAAACGAAAGAATATTAATCTACAACCCAGTGTGTCTAATGATTTTAATTTTTTAATTTTTTATTTTCTTATTGTTCAATATATATATATATATATATATATATATATATATATATATATATATATATATAGTGTCATTTAACATATATATATATAAATGCACAATATATATATATTCACACACAAAAATATATATATATATATATATATATATATAAACAACAAATATATATATATATATATATATATATATATATATATATATTGTTGTTGTTGCTGTTGTTGTTGATGATCATTTGAACCATTTAAAGTTTGGCATGTTTTTCGGTGGTGATTCTTCCATCTTTTGCCAGACTTATGAAAAATGTCCCCCGGTATAACGGACCGATTTCCATCTCCTCTATTCTCTTCTGTGACCACCAGATTTAAAGTCCGTTGAGGAAGTACGAGCTATATTGCCGATCTCACGTCCCAAGTAACAAATACAAACAGTTATGTCCCTACTTAGACAACACGAAATTTCTTTCATTTTGAAATAATTCAGTTTATTTTGGAACACAGTTCTGTCCAATCTTCGAAAATCTTTGAAAAAAAGTCGCAAAAATCATATTTATATTTGTGCCATGGAGAGATTTTTGGGGAAAAGTTTAATTGTACCGAATATTTTGTTAATTATCATAGGCATTATGATAATTGTATCGTGATGGACAAACTGTCGTCTTTTAATATTATTTAATTTCGAGCATGCGCGTTGTTTGTTTTTGATTGTCTCGAATGTACAGTGTCATTTGAGAAAAAGAACACCATGACGCAGTTCACTCCTCCAGAAATTTGGAAAGGTCATAGTGTACTGCTTGGTATTCACACCGGTAGTTCTAATACGAACGCTTCAGAGTGTTTGGTGACAGCGCAGAAGATTCTGAAATAGTTTGATTGGTTTAATTGTGATTACAAATGTGTTTGGTTTAATCACGAGTAATGGCGACATTATGACTCCCTTCATCTTTGTGCAGAATCGATACGGAGCCCTGTATCAAGTGCCTTGAGGAGTTAGTGGTGCCTTGAATCTAGAGTGTGATTGCTATAAGACACTATATCTAGCAAACAGAACTCTGTACCATGCCACAAAAAATCAGGAGAACACAGTCATGGCTGTTAGACAATTTCCACAACATCACTCATTACATCTGGCCACATAGCTCCATTCACTACAACACGCTTGATTATTCTGTGTGGGGCGCTGAAGACAGAAGAACAAAACACGTTGTAACACCAAAAATGCATTGAAGGCAAGGATTATTGCAGCATTGACCAACTTAAACAAGGAGATCCCCGCCCAGAAGATTTGCAGAAGATTCCGAAGTCCTCCTGCGGCTGTCAGTGAAGCCAATGGCGAATTTATTGAATAAATTTACTCTTTAGAATTTCTCGCTATTCTTGTACAATTTTGGTAAATATATCTGTTAAACGGGAAAGTCAGTGATATTTTTAATTTTTTGCATAATTTAGCATCGCGCACAAACACAAACACACAGACATATATTTTGCAATCATCGACTATTGATTATCATATATATTATATCTATAAACAATGTTCGAAGAAATAACTACAAATATAAATACACACACAAACACGTATATATATATATATATATATATATATATATATATATATATATATGTGTGTGTGTGTGTGTGTGCGTGTGTGTAAATTTCTTTTCATTTTTTGTTTCAACCTTTGGAAGTAAAGTCTAATGATCCGCAGTCCTTTAAAATAAATAATTTTTTACGTGGAACCATAAGGTGATCTGTTTTTATTTAAATTATTTGCTGTAGATTTACATTGAGCTCTCTGGATTTTATCCTCCTTGGGTTTACCCATACGGATTGCCTAGTTTTTCATAACAATATCTCTTCTTTGTACATTGTCACTAGATGGCGTGTTGGCCCTTTGTTTTTTATCTAGACATTGACGAGTATGCATTAATGCATACGTAGGTATTTTTTCGTTTTGTATATTCCTTTCAGTTCGTGTTTCATTTTCTTTATTTTTGTCGATTTTCCTGTTGGTCTCATTCAGATATTTATTGATGTTTGTATTGCAAGTTTGTTTAATGTAATATTGTAGTTGCATTAGTTTTATCAATAACTTGCTTTGTCGTATCTATCTATCTATCTATCTATCTATCTATCTATCTATCTATGTATCACTGTTTATTCTTTTTATCAAACTATCTGTATTGTATCACTATGTTTATTCTATCTTGTATCTATCTATCTAATCAGTTTTTTTTGTCTACTGTATTATTCTATTTCTATCTAATCTACTATCTATCTATGTTTATTTATTCTTTTTCAAACTATCACTGTTTATTCTTTCTTTCTATCTATCTATCTATCTATCTATCTATCTATCTATCTATCACAGTTTATTTTTTTCTATTATCTATTTTTTCTATCTATCTATCTATCTATCTATCTATTATCTATCTATCTATGTATCACTGTTTATTAATATCTAACTATCACTTTATTCTTTCTTTCTATCTATCTATCTATCTATCTATCTATCTATCTATCACAGTTTATCTATCTATCTATCACTGTTATCTATCTATCTATCTATCTTTTGTATCACTGTTTATTCAAACTATCACTGTTTATTCTTTCTATCTATCTAACTATCTATCTATCTATTCTATTATTTTTCTATCTATCTATCTATATCTATCTATCTATCTATCTATCTATCTATCATCTATCTATGTATTACTGTTTTTCTATCTATCTATCACTATTTATTTTTCTTTCTATCTATCTATCTATCTATCTATCTATCTAGTTTATTTTTCTATCTATCTATGCTTTTCTATCTATCTATCTATCTATCTATCTATCTATCTATCTATCTATCTATGTATCACTGTTTATTCTTTCTATCAAACTATCACTGTTTATTCTTTCTTTCTATCTATCTATCTATCTATCTATCTATCACAGTTTATTTTTTCTATCTATCTATCACTGCTTTTCTATCTATCTATCTATCTATCTATCTATCTATCTATCTATCTATCTATGTATCACTGTTTATTCTTTGTATCTATCAATCTGTCACTGTTTATTCTTTCTATCAAACTATCACTGTTTATTCTTTCTTTCTATCTATCTATCTATCTATCTATCTATCTATCTATCTATCTATCTATCTATATTGAATTAAAAAAAGAATTAAACACACTCATTAATAATGACTTTTCTAATTACATCGTTAATGAACAAAGTAGACAAGTCATTAGAATTATTAACATAAATCAAGAACTATAATTTCTCAAATATCAATCTACATGTTGTATACTGTAACTATGAACATTAATGGGTATATCCCAACCCTCATAAATACGTTGGGCACTAATTTAAATGGGGTCTAAAATGCTGCTTAAGCTGGCAGCGTGAGCTGTCATCGTGGGAAGCTTTAGCTTTAGTCAGAGAGGATCCCGGACGAGGCTATGCGTATTCGGGGTCCACGGGAAATTTTTGACCGAGCCCACGGGCTCGCATTTACTATCTCGTGGGGAGGCATGTAAGTATCGTAATATGTTGTCTAAGTAGTCCACAATTAGCACTGTTTTACCTACTTCACACTGCTGGCGGGCATTGTATTTTGTTGATGCTATAAAGGTTACTAGTTCATTTCCAACCTCCGTTTTGGTTATTCCTCATTCAGTAACCCTTTCTAGGTTACAAAACTACTAAACCGTAATCAAATGCATTCTAACTATAAACAATATGAAAAAGTTGTAACAAAGCTCATGAGCACTAACATATTCCCCACTGATCCCAGTAAAAATAAAAGTAATTATATATTATATATTGATTTTAACGTAACCAATTTAATCATACGCAATATCTCTTTTGAGTCTAACATTGTTTTGGGAAAAAAGACGACATTGTGTATCAATTTAAAATGTCCTTTTTGAGATTATATTTCTGACAAAATAGAAAATACATATATTGGTTTGACGATGAAAATATTATCAAGACGTTTTACACGTAATTTGTCGGATACAAGTTCTATTGTATTATATCTAAAAACACATTCATGTTTACCTTCACAATTGAAGTAAATGAAAGCACCAATATTCTACACCATGAAAATAATGAACAGAAAATTTAAAATACTCGAGGTCCTCTATGTCAAAATCAACCAACTAAAACTCAACAAAATTTATGACGAATATAGCAGGAACATCTTAAAATGCATATAACATATAATACCCTATTACATTTTTTCCAAATTTCCGGTCAACTCCCATATATTGAAAAGCTTGTTTTGCAAGAAATTCGATAAATACTACAGACAAATTTAGCATTTTTAAAATAACTATAACAGATCACGTACACGCGTCGTTTTAAAAATCCCCATCACAACGTAATGCAGTTTCTTTTCGTAGTTACAATAAGTTCGACATTGTAATTGACCTCTGAAGATGATCTTAGATAAGAATGAAAGTATTTGTCTGAAAAAAAAACTATGGCGTCTTCCTTAATGAATTTCTTCGTAACATCAAGAAACTGATTAGAAAACTGGAAAGAAAAAATATAAAAATAAGTAGATTCAGTAAATCTATATTATTCTTTGAATGATAATATCTTTATATATATATATATATATATATATATATATATATATATATATATATATATATATATATATATATATATATAAGTGTATGATTGGTATATACAGAATAAATTACAAACACCAAAAATTACTATTCTTAAAAGAGTGCTCAATGCAGAGTAGAGCGAATATTAATATTTATTTCAAAATTATAACATAAATATGTCATAAAATTACTACAAAATAGCCATTTTGTTTCCATACATTTAGAGTGTCTTATCAAGTGATGATGTTGAATGTAGATTGTAGAATCTACATTCAACATTATACTCTGATAATTTTTCTACAGGTTTGAACCAAAATGGCTATTTTTGTAGTGATTTTTATAACATATTTATATTATAATCTTGAAAATATATATATATATATATATATATATATATATATATATATATAAGCAATATCTCTCTTCTTCTGGGAGGTATAAAATAAGATAGTTTTCCTCTCTTTAAACTAATCGATTCTTTTATGTCTTTCCATAGACAACACTGGTGATTTGTAAAAATCAGTATCATGTGCTATTGATTTGTCATTTAGATGAATTTGTTTGTTGCAGTTAAATATAACGCCTCGCCTCCTGTGAATATGCCTAATGTATACTACTTATTTTTCATGATATCATATGACGCCTATTGTTTAAATGAAATTATTCAACACCAGAAAGAAAACAATTACTTTTTTATTCGTCTTCAAATTTTAAATATTATTGAACTAGATTATTCATTTGCATGTCAGCCATTGGGAGAAACATTTATTTATCTTATATAAAGTTATCGTATTACGTTTCTGTTGCATTTAAACTCAACTCACAGATTGTTCTTCCAAGATATGGTACTATACACAAATCAGTACAAAATGGTTATTCTTCTTTCTGATTTTATGTTATGTGTCCCTTCAGGATCTAAGCGATCATGTCTCTCCACATTTTCTGTTCCTTGTAGCTCTTGCTATGTTTTGTCTTTTTGCTAATTCTCCCAGACTCTGTTCTGCCATCAATATTCTCACGCCGATTATTCAGTATGTAACGCCCTCTGAGTATCAGATTTTCCAAGCCTTCCTTTCTAATTTCGTTTCCCAGAAATTTCAACTGACTCTTTCTGATGTTAACTATAAGATTCTTCTCTGTTTCTATTCTCTCAAAAACTTCTTTGTTGCTCATTTGGTATCCTCAGCATCTTTCTGTAGTACCACCCTTCTGTCGTTTTGAGTCTCTTCATCTTTGATTAGATTGTCCAACATCCCCTGCCATACAGGGGGGGGGGGGCAGATGTCACATAATAGTTCAGTAGCCTTTTATTTGTTTCCTGTCTCTTAATACTTTGCTTAGCTTTCGAAATGCACTTTTGGCCATCCCAATAATTTTTCGAATCTCAGTATCGCACTTTCTTTCCTCTGTTAAAGACACTTCCCAGATATCGAAATTTATGCACCCTCTTGATTTCAGTATCCCCGACCTGTAATTTGCATATTTTGCTGATGAACATGCATTGTCTTCTGGTATTTTATGCTTAGTCCCTTCGTGTTCTCTTTTGCTACCTCCTGTAGGAAGTTTTGTAGTTTCATTTCCTTGTCTACTACCAGCACTGTGTCATCTGCATATCTGATATAGTTAAGACTTTGGCTGCCGGTCAAGAATCCTGTGAGGATTTCTATTTCTCTCAGATAATAATTTGATGGGCGGTGACTTTACGGACATTACAGTACGGAAGGCAACCACTTTTAACAAACACATCTCTATTCTTCTTGCAGTTCACACAAATATTATTGGGTATAATAATCTTCATTTTTTTTTATCTGAAGCATTTCACGTTATCAATATTTCTGTATTAATTCCTTTAACTTTTTTTCCAGTTAATTCTTATTTCTCCTTTCAGATAATGATTCTTTAATTATTCGAAAACAAAAACATGAAAACAAACAGATAAATCTACCCAAGGTCTCAGACCTTCTTTCCTAGAAATTAGGATTTCGCTACCGTCGTAATCAAAGCCAATTATGTCTTACGGCCATATCACCTTGAAACGTTGATAGTGACCGCGTGGGAATACCAGGTTGCTGTAAGATTGGATTTACAGGTGGTGTAATTGATAATGGAGCGGAATTGTTAATCGCAGAGTCGAGGTATAATTCCAGCTGTGTTCATTATCTTTACCTATGCGCAAATAACCATGGGAAATGTTTGAATTCACCTCCTCTCTCTTCCCCTATGTGTAAATTACTAAGAATTGCATCACTAAACCATTGTAATCTAGAAAAAATGAAATACAACTGCAGAAATAATATTTAGGTTTTGGCATTAAATCAGCAATAGATGTGATATGCTGCTAAACAAGAAAGCCAATCCAAAGTCAAGTATGGCGGATTATTCTTATTATTCAATAAATTTTATTCTATAGTTCGCCGAACGCCATAATAGTAAAAAATAGTCTATTCTTCACTAAGAGGACGAATATGTTATGGATTATCAAGAGTGGTCTCACCTTTTTTGCTACACTCCTCTTTTAGAGAGCTATTTCTATTTACTGGGACTATAAAAGGACACTATACGTGAACCTAGTATACGTAGTTGAATAAATATTTCTTGAAAGCCAACACCTACGTTCTTTTGTCATTACATATGGCTCTCCAAAATTTCTTCTCCTTTGTAGCTCTTAGTGAATTATGTCATTCCTTTACACATGTTCAATAGGTACGTTATGTGTTGTTTTCGCTTGTCCCTCTTGCCTTCGATGTGTCCTGTGAGTGTCCAATTTTTGCAAGACAATTTACCTAATTATGTACGCAAGGAATTACAATTGTCTCTTTCTGGTGTTAATTAGAAGAATCTTTTCCGTTTTCCATTTTCTCTCAGACATGTTCATTCCATGGTATTCTCAGAATCCTTCGGTAGTATCACATTTTTTTTGTTTCAAGTCTTAAGAAACGTTAATCCTGTTTCCAGTCTATGAGTTACAAAACGTTTATGTTGCTCGATTTCCACTTTGAATGTTTTTGAAACGGTCATGTCTCTACAGCGTGCAACGATCATGTGTCCTTGTAGGGTCTTACAAGAATGACATGAGTTTTTCGTAAGCCGTACAATGAGACTGTCTCCTGAAAAGACATGTTTTTAGAAGACAATTCAAATTACGAATTAAATAGATAAATAAAAGTCTACCTTGGCTCTTGGGACTTGCATTGGGGAAGCAATAGCCCAAAGAGATCTCTTTTCTTTATTATTTATTAACTAGCATTCATTCTGAGAATAGATAGTAGGAGTGGTATCCAGTTGTATTTTTCACGGTGGCAAATAAGAGTTTCCGAATCTACCATGCCATTTGACACCTCGCTAGCAGGAAAAGAAATGACTTTATAATTTATCTAAGCTTATTTATACTAAAAGTGAATGCAAAATACAAAACTCGAAATTTCATTACATATTCCGCAAGATATTCTTCAAATTATATATTCTTACGTCGAATGATGACGGATATATGCTCTTAAATATCAAACAGTGTAGTCGTCTTCTTCATTCTTAAATCGAATATTTTCTTAATCAGGTATTACCTCTTGTGTCAGGATAAGGGACACATGAGAAACATTTATAAATCTAAAACCTT